TGTGGGCCACTAGATAGCCGCCTGAAGGTAGGCAATTTGACCTACAAAACCCCTGTATGTAGGCAACTTTCGATGCACCGCCCCCCCTGTCCGCCCCCCCTTAATACGCCCCTGGGCCTATGGTCTTGCCTCTTTCGACCGCGTTGACGATCTCTCTGCATACCTCGCATAATACATTTTACAGAAAATGTGACCGTTAAATTTGTGGAGGCGACGAATCCGGCGGGCGGCCGCGCCACCGGCACCACATAACGTCTCTAGGCCCGTCTTTCGGACGTGCTGTTCCCCTCTGCGATTTACGTCACAATCAGAAGTCAATAGATAATCAGCTTGCCGTATCGAAAGCTAAAGGAAGCGAGAGTACTCCTCTTTTTTTCTTATGAAAAAAATAATATATATCCCGCATGCTGTGGCCACGTAGAGTCGTATCAACAACAAGTTAACGACTCGGATTGCAGGGCCAGAAACACTTTGTATTATTAGATAACACCCAAGAAAGTGACTACTCGCACTCGCCCGATTATTCAACTCAGACCGCGCTATCGTGCATGGCCCCCCTGCATTTACATTGCATTTCTAGTTTAAATAAATAAATAAATAAAGACCATTAAACACGAAGCCAAAGCATTATTTTGTTGATCAGCTGTTGACGTTTCGCGCGGGCCGCATGCGTCCGCTGGGGCTGGCCGTGCACCGGTACAGCAACCTGCCGTACCAGGGCTGGGAGGTGAAGCCCGACACCAAGTCCGCCACGGCCGGGGCCGCGCCCACGGCGGCCATCCTCAGCATCACGGCCGCAGTCGTCATGGTGGAGCTGTGCATCAGGGTCAGTGCGGCACAACACACGGGTGTCCACATAAGTGGTTGCGTAGCGGGATGCACTCGGGGCGGGGCTGCATCTACGCCTGCCTACTAGGCTGGCTACATTCATACACCTGTGCTGAGGGGTTGCCTGGTAGGCATGCGCTAGATGCGACCCAGCTAACGCCACCTGTGCACGCGTAGGAAATTCGCCCCCTTTACCTGGCAGCGCTGCCTGCTCTGCAACAGGTAGTGTTCTAATGTTGCTTCTGACAGGACTCTGAGATGTGCCTGAACCAGCTCCAGAACGGGCCGAACAACGCACTCCTGGACCTGGTGGGGAAGTTTATGAAGCCCCGTGAGCTTTTCAAGGCAAGTGTTGCCCGAGTTGTCGGCAATCAGGTTAAAAAATCAATGTTAAAACTATTGGCTTCCTCAAAAAAAAAAAAAAAAAAAAACAGCAACATATAAAAACGAAACAGGCAACCAGTTGGTAGCACTAAATGCCACTTCTCTGTGCACCTGCTTCGCTCTGCTCAGCTGTTGAGGGGTGGCGGGCTGGACCTGTGCCCCGGGGACGACGCGGGCTGCTACCTCGAGGGCATGGCGCCCAAGCACAGGCCCACGGAGCGCCACCTCTACCACACCATGGCGCTGCTCTGCAACACGTACAACTTCACCTGGTCGCGGTGGAACCAGCAGGCCGGCACGCGCAACATCGTCATGCAGTTCCGAGAGTACATCGACCGCAAGAAAGTGGTACGGCACTGCCTCCTGGTGACGGGGGAAACTGCAGGAGAAACCTCGACATACTCGCTTCACTTCTGAAACGATTGTGAATTTCAGGGCAACTACAACATGCTGTTGGTCACGCCGGCGCATGCCGCCATCCTGGAGTGCACGGAAGTGAGCACGCAGTTCAACACCAAGAGTGCAGACGGCCTGCCGGTAAGGGGTGGAGGATTCATAGGTCACGACACCAGGCCGCTGCTGATCGCCCACGCGTCTTTGCCTGTCGTCTCTGATCACGGCGCCTTCCGCCCCCGAACGAATAGGCAACCCAGTGCGCACCGCGCCCTGCAAGGGAGGGTGGTTCAGGCTCAGGCCGGCTCAGGCCAATGCAACGCGCGATTATATTGCCGCGACCTTCGTTCTGTCGCCATACTACACAAGTTCCCACATCTGCGACAGTTTGTCCGGGCGTTTCTATATTAAAGAGAGAGAGAGAGAAGAGAGTTAGCGTTCCTTGTGGGTCGCCACGACGGCGGCCCCCATCTCCCTCCCCGCCTTGAGCCTGGTTGGCCCCTTATCTATTGAAAAACAAACCTAAACTAGTGCGACCGGCTTGCAACCACCGCAGCTTATACTTGCCAGACTGGCAAAAATCAATCTACAAGATTTTTTATAGGCCAAATAGCCAAAAATAGCCAATATTTTCTTTTTTTGCCAGTTCTACGCCGACCTGTTCCATTTAGTGCAAGATCACTGCTCACTACTGACCAAGACCCGCATCGAAGAAATTCCTTTCACATTTGTCGAGACTATGTATGAAGTTCTGCGAACGGTGCGCCTACTTAGTTCGTCGTGAAGGAGAGACGCTGATTGCAGTGCGACTTTTGTGAATGATAAGTCGTTGAAATTCAGAACAGAACAAACATGATTCTATGCCAAGCTACATTGTATTTGTTCTACCTGTAAAAACATTAATGTAAACTTATTGTCATAACCTTATTAAAATACAGTAAAGTAACACGAGTCTTTCTTTTGTTGCAATTAAAGGTGAAAAACTCACACATCTATGACATCAAACATAGCAGAAAAAAAGCGTACCTAGCAACCAACACAGAAATTCCCATTAATAAAATTGTTTGTCGGCCAAACTTATTGACCTAAGGGGGGGAAAGGGGGAATAAAAATTAGCCCACAGGGCTAGAAAGGGGCAATCCCCTCGACAAAACCTGAGCGCAGCGCAGGCACTCATCGCCAACCCAACCAACACCCGTGCTCCCGTCGCCCCTGTTCTGAACGAGAAGAGCGAGAGGGGG